ACAATATAGGCATGTTGGTTTGTGTTAGTGTCAGTGGTACAATTTTTTTCAAGTGTGAAAATATTGGATAATTACACTGTTCAACAGGTAAAAAGTTTTGGGCATAAAATTAGCTAATCTTACATAATTTTGGGGTGCTGAAAACGAAAATGACCCTAAAAAATGTTGATTGGCTCTAGTTTCCATGATATATTCACCCATCTAATGACGTAAGCCATTCAAAATTATGACGCAACTTCAGCTGCATATTGCGCAATTGATACTGGTGACCAATAGAAAATTGCATGTATACTGAGATGATGCAATATTAGCCTTTAATTGCATGACTTCACTGCATAAAAGCTGCAGTATCTGTAGCTGATTGTAGTTCGAACAGCGTCTTTACATTTCGTTTTATGCTTATATAGGCTACTCAGTAATGCCTCGAACTTGTGTGAATAAAGCAGATAATTTCTGCTATATCTGCGGTGAAATAACTTTTATCTCACAAAAAAGGAGGATAACAGGAATGATTAAGAAAGCCTACAACTTGTATTTTGGCTGCAAGATAGGAGACCAGGACAAGAGCTGGGCACCACATATATGCTGCAATTCTTGTGGGACGGCACTGGAGCAATGGTTGAATGGAAAAAAGGCATCTATGCCTTTCGCTGTGCCAATGATTTGGAGAGAGCCAACAGATCATGTTAGTAATTGTTACTTTTGTATGGTGCCTCCAATTGTAAAAGGGCTAAATAAGAAGAAAAAGTTATCTGTGCACTATCCAAATATTCCATCGGCAATACGTCCAGTTCCTCATGGAGAGGGGCTACCAATTCCTACAGCACCAGAATCCTTCGTGGTTGAGTCAAGTGAGGAAGAACCTGAAGCGTGTAGTCACGTGCAGTTGTAAGAGATAGCCCTTTCCTCGAATACAAGAGAAAAGCCAAGAGAAGCAAAACCGACACAAACTGAAGACAAAACTAGTGAGAATCCTAAGTATTAAAATGATTCAACTTAGCTTATGGCTATAATTTTTCTTGGTAATCCTATGCAATATATTATGCCATTTAGGCTTTGTTATGTAGTCAATATCACTTGCTTTATATTTGTGGAAAGACATCTATCTATATAATTATTGTGCATTATGTAGTCATTACGCCTATAGTAGAAAACTTTCCGTTTACAGAAAAACTAGAGCCAATTGACAAATTTCATTGTTATATTTGAACTCAGAATGTGAAATTCATTAAGAAATGGATCCTTTTGTTTCCAAAACTGGCAAAAAATAAAAATTTGTTGAACAGTGTTATATACAGTATGTAATGTACATTAAAATGAATTTAAAGTAAGCACATCACTAATCTGGAAAAAAAAAGTTGTGCATAATAAAAAAAAATGCAAGCCAGGAAGTTATTTTCAATGAAAATGACAGGTCAATATGATTAGTAGATCTGGACTAGGGATGAGCCAAATGTACCTGGGTTCAGGCAGGTTCGGCGATCCTTACTAAAGTCAATTGGAGCCGAATCTTAGAAATCAGTCATAATAATTTTCTAGGCTAATAGGCAGGGCATTGTCAAACAAATAGCATGTGAAACTGGGCTCTGTCCTAGGGGACATGTGTAGCATGGGCAGCACAACTTCTGCCTGGCAGTACTAGGGTCATTGGTTCAAATCCCAACAACTGTACTACCTACCTGGGATCTGCTTGTTCTCCCTGTGCCTGTGTGGGTTTCCTCTGGATGCTCTGGTTTCCTCCCACAATCAAAAGACATGCTGGTAGGTTAATTGTCTCCTGTCTAAATTGTCCCTAGTATGTGTATTTATGAATCTGATTTACCCTAGGTTCACACCTAAGCATTTTCTGTAGCATTTTGTGTTTTGTAGAAATGCAGTGTACAGTCCATTTAACATGATTTCCTATGGGACACGTACACATCTCTGCGTTTTCACCCGGTGTGTTTTTTGGAAAGGGTCAGGGACTTTGTTTAACGCAAAAAGTTGCATTTTTGGTTCTATAGACTTCAAAGGGAAAGGCTGCAGAAAAGCATGTAGTGCGTTTTTGCAGCATTTTTGCCATGTTTTTGATGTGTTTTGCATTTTTAATTTGCCTAGCAACAAGAAAAAAATTAAAAACACAGCAAAAATGCATCAAAACAGCAGGTGCAAAAATGCAAAGCAAAACTCAATGCAGAAACTGGTCAAACGCAACCTGCATAGGTGTGAACCTAGCCTTAGGGACCTTGGATTGTATGCTCCATGAGGGGTAGGGATTGATGTGAATGTGCAATATATAGATGTAAAGCTCTGTGTAAATTGACAATGCCATATAAGTACCTGTAATAAATAAAATAATAAACATGTACCAAACAAAAAAATTTTTAAAGGATATGTTCGCCTTTGTAAAAAAAAAAAAAAAAAAAGCACATCTTTTTGCAGGTAAAAAAATGGTCATTTATTATTTTTTTTTGTATTAGAAGACCATAAAGCATTGCACCTACAATCAGCAAATCTCAGGTGCAATCTCAGGCTCCTGCAGACTGTACCTCATCTGGACAGGCAGTTACTGAATGACAGGAAGCATCAATTAACTACCTAGAGCACTCATCAGCAGCCTGATAGTTCGTTAAGAACTACAAGCAATCAGCTGCAATGGCTGACGGTAGTTGTAGTTCTCCCATTCACAGAACTCTGTGAATGAACGATGTGGCCAGGTGGGCGAAGCAGCATTTTTTTTTTAATTATGGGGAGAGGATGGGGGGTGGGGGGTGGTGCAGGGGCTGCTGCATCTGTAACATGATTACAGGTGTAACATGCTAGGAAAGTTGAACCTATCCTTTAATAATCCTGTTTGGTAGGGAGCAGCATTTTTTATAATATTTAAAGTGAAACATTAAAATGCTAAATTTCTTTAAATAACATGAATGGAGGTTTTCCTTAAAAGAGAAGTATGGGATTCTTTTTTTCCCCCCAAATTATACTTACCTAGGTAAATACAGCATCAGCCCAATTCTGCATCTGTCCCCCACTGGCTCTAAGTGTGAGCACTCAGTGATGACATGACCGCTGATCGATGAGTTCTCAAAGCTGCTGTGAGCAGAGAGCGGTGACTGTCAGTCACTGCTCTTTGCTGTGCCCCCCAGTGCTCAATGGAGCGCTGGGCTGTGGAGGGGGAGGGAATGGCTGGCTCAGGCTCTCAATGGATCACTGAGAGGCTATTCCAGGTGCCACTCCAGACTCTGGGGGGGATTTCGACTTCAAAGTTGGGATCTTTCCCCACCCTGGACCACCTGAGTGACATCAGCTGACAGCAGGCTTCAGCCCGCTGTCAGCTGAAAACAGGTCACAGGAGTACAGAACGAACTGCACTCCTGTGATCCACAGGAGAAGTACAGCCAAAAGAGCTTTGGCTATACTTCTCCTTTAACCTATCTGAGAAGTGGTGCATCTGCATGATGTATACAACCTAACACAGTGAAACTGATATTTAAAAAGAAACAAAATACTGTTTGTAATTTTGTTAAGGAACAGTTCCAGACTACTTAGATTCCCTTTATCTATGGCAGACCATTGTTCTAGATAAATATCTGGTATAGATGTTAAGGAATGACTCCATAAAAACAAAAACCAGAGTGTTGTTTTTTTAAAAATAAATATCCTTGATTAGGGTCTGGTATGGAGGTCAAAGGGGGACTCAATGAAATGCAAACATAAAAAATGGTGAATGGTCCCCCACAAATTTCATATCAGACCTGAATTTTAATTGCGAACCAAAAATCAAGGGAAAAAAAAGCATGAGGTTCCCTTATATAAGAATGCAGCTTGACATACCTAATGACCCCCCACCATTTTGAACAATACCACGCCACATGCCTTCATTTTGGTGGGGGCACCTTGCCAGGGGGAAACCTGCTGACAAAACTCCTTGTATGTGCCTTATAGAATTTACTAATAAAGTTCCAAATTTTACTTTTCTATGAAATATATTTTTTAATATTTCCCTGAACAGATAAGAATCCTGGCACTTTGATATTAGTAGTATTCTAAAGTCTAAAGTAAACTTGTCACAGAGCTTTGGAATTTATACCCTACAGGTTATGAAAAATTCATAAGAAGAGGTTACCTTCAGTGTAAACGGAGTGTCAAAGTGATCAGAGGATCCAGAGTTGGCCCTGTACTCTACCTCCTTTCAAGCATTGCTATTGGTCAGTGAAGCTGCCTCTCACTATTAGAACCTAATAGAGACATAGGAACGGGCATGGCCAAACTCACATTTCACTGAAAAGTGTTGGCTCTGTTATCTTCAGCAGTCTATATCTGTGGACCTACTGGCTGTTTCCCATAAAAATTCCTTTTTATAGTATATATATCAGTATAGAGTGGGTCAGGTTTTCCTTTAAGGGCAAATTCATGATTTATAACCCCCCCAGCCACTTAACTACCCTAAAGTTGCCTGTCCACTACAGTTTGCTTATTTACCGTCCCCGATGGTGTCTGTGCATTAACATCCCATGTACTTGAATAGAATGCACCCATACTGCAGGAGCAATCACATTTATAGGGTGTTAGTGCACAGGGATGGGCAGCCCAGTCCTTGTATTTTTTACCGGCCAGCACATTAACAATGTTGAAAGCCACCACATTCAGAGGAGGTAAGTAAGCCTAATTTCAGGTTGAGTAGTTTAGGGGCTAGGGAGGGTGGCTGTGGCAAGAAGTTGATATAATTCATAAACTTCTCTTTTATTAACCGCTTCCCATCTGCTCTATAGTAGATATACTGCTACAGTGCTACAGGGCGGCACAGGTGCACAAAATCACACACACACACATATATATATATATATATATATATATATATAGTGCATATGTGATTTCGCATTTCCAGGTGAGCGAGGCATGCACGCTCCCTACCCGCGCCGCCATTCGAGGCCACGGTTGTCAGTCACCGGTCCCGGTGATGGCCGAGTATCTCCAACGGGGGAGAGAAACTGTTTGTAAACAAAACAGTTCTCTCCCCTGTCAGCTCTTGCACACTGCTTCGCACGGCTGCGCATAGCACAGCGCATAGCACAGCCATGGAAAGCAGTGTGCTTACAGTGAAGCACATACACACAGCCTCACAGTAAAAAAACACACAGCACACAGTTAACCCTTTGATTGCCCCACATGTTAACCCCTCCCTGCCCAGTGCCATTAGTACAGTGTCAGTGTTTTTTATTAGCAGTGATCACTGTATTGGTGTCACTGGGGATGTCAGTGACACCAAGTCAGTTCCCCCCAGTGTCAGAATGACAGCCGCATTCCCGTTATAAGTCGCTGAACACCACCATTACTAGTAAAAAAAATTTTTTTTAAAAAGCCCAGTATATAAAACCGCAATTTGTAAACTATTTGTAAACTTTCACGTAAACCAATTACTTTACACATATTGGGATTTTTTTTAAGCAAAGAATAAATTTTGGCCTAAATTTATGATGAAATTTGATTTTTGAAATTTTTTTTACTAGACATGTTTAATAGCAAAAAGTCCAAAATATTGTTATTTTTCTCAAAATTGTCAGCCTTTTTTTTGTGCAAAAAGTACAAAAAAACCCAGGCAATCAAATACCACCAAGAGAAAGCTCTATTTGTGGGGAAAAAAAGCCCAGTATATATACCGCCATTTGTAAACTCTATAACTTTCGTGTAAATCAATTACTTTACACGTATTGGGATTTTTTTTTAGCAAAGACATGTAGCAGAATACATTTTGGCCTAAATTTTTGATGAAATTTGATTTTTTAAAATTGTTTTACTGGAAATGTTTAATAGCAAAAAGTCCAAAATATATATATTTTTTTCAAAATTGTCGATCTTTTTTTGAGTAGGCTATCAAATACCACCAAAAGAAAGCTCTATTCGTGGAAAAAAAAGGACATAAATTTCATTTGGGTGCAGCGTTGCATGACGGCGCAATTGTCAGTTAAAGTAACGCAAAAAATAGCCTGGTCAGGAAAGGCAGTAAATCGTCAGGAGGGCAAGTAGAAAAAAAGGACGTAAATTTCATTTGAGTGCAGCGTTGCATGACCACGCAATTGTCAGTTAGAGTAACACAAAAAATAGCCTGGTCAGGAAGGGGAGTAAATCCTCAGGAAGGCAAGTGAAAAAAAAAGGACATACATTTCATTTGGGTGCAGGTTTGCATGACTGTGCAATTGTCAGTAAAAGTAACACAAAAAAATAGCCTGGTCAGGAAGGGGAGTAAATCCTCAGGAGGGCAAGTGGAAAGAAGGACGTAAATTTAATTTGGGTGCAGCATTGCAGACTGCGCAATTGTAAGTTAAAGTAACGCAGTGCGGTAATGCAAAAAAATGGCCTGGTCAGGAAGGGGGGTAAATCCTCTGGAGGGCAAGTGGTTAATAAATATTTAGCGGTCTGCTTTTAACATGACAAATGAACATGGTTAGTAAAAATAGTCATGGCTACATGGCAGAAACACCTTACAAGTATTCAACAGTAAACATAAAGGAGAAAATGATTTGGACAAGATCATCATAAAAAAATAAAAAACGTATTTATTTATTGTCCTTTAGTTTTTTCATACTACTGGAAACCATCATTTTCAAACTATTTAAATTATTCACTGATGTAACTAAATCAAACATCCCACACCAGCCAACAAAAACCATCAACTAAAAACAAGTGACCACATGCATTCTTAAGGCAACAGTCCAGGGAACGGGAATGTGCTGTCCTGGGGGGTGGAACAGTGACTGGAATTTAGCTCATGTTCCTCTGCTACCATGGTGTCAGTTTCTGATTTTGGGATATACTCATGCTGCTATTAATATTTCAGGTAGTTGAACACAATGAAAAGTAATTAACTCAACTGCTACAACAGGTGTTGTGTGGGGTAATATAGCCTTTTGTCATGATGAAGTCACGGGTACATGTGCTAACTGTGCTCCTCTCATTCTCCTCGGGATTATACTGACAGAATGCCACAGGCAAGATAGTCTACTGTCATCATTTATATGTTATAATGACACCTCATTAAAGATGCATCTTTTAGTAATCGCCAGAAACAATATCCCTTTTCAAAACTACCTTAAGATATGATTAGAGCTACATAATTTATATTGTTTGTGACAGAGAAGTGTTGAATCTCACTATGGATATTTAAAAGAAATGTATTTGGAAATAATAATAAAAATATTATTTATTTCAGGTACATATATAGTGCCATCAATTTGCACAGAGCTTTACATATATATTGTACATTCACATTAGTCCCTAACCCTCAAGGGGTGTACAATGTAAGATCCCTAACTTACATTCATACATACACATACTAGGGCCAATTTAGACAGGATCCAATTAACCTACCAGCATGTCTTTGGAGTGTGGAGGAAACCCACGCAGGCACAGGGAGAACATGCAAACTCCAGGAAGGTGGTGCTATGGTTGGGATTTGAACCAATGACTCTAGTACTGCCAGGTGGAAGTGCTAACCATTTAGCCATAATGCCAGTGCAAACTAGGGATGAGCTACGAACTGCCAAACAAACTGGTCATATATGGGCAGTAAGCCCGCCGGAATCCCTGACTGGTAGAATGTTAATGAAGCAGCCATGGATCAAGGGTGATGTCATTGACCAAATATGGTCAGTTTTGTCAATGACATCACCCAGGGCACCTGAAATGTTTTTTACATTCCAGGAGCTCCAGGGATTCTGCCATTTAGCAGTGGTAGTGTGCTGGGACAAAATCGGTGTGAGGTGGATTGTGTTGGTGGCATTGTCAAACAGGTAATTTTGATTGATGTTGGATTTACATCTCTGGACTATCTATATGGACATCTCTGGACATCTCTATGAACTCTTTTTTATTATTAAAGGTCTTTATGTGTGTGCGTTGTTTATTTACATTTGACATTTTTGGGAATGAGTAATATGGTGTACTAATGTGCCCTGTACAGGGGCGGACTGACAACTCATGGGGCCCCCCGGGCAATAGGGGACCATGGGGCCCCTGTGTCCTTGCCCAAACTCAAAAAAGCCTATGAAAAAGGTACCAGGGGCATCTCATGGGGCCCCCCACTGACCCCGGGCCCTCGGGCAGTGCCCGAGTTTCCAAATGGTCAGTCCACCCCTAGCCCTGTACTCATTCCTCTGGGATTGCGAGTGGTTATATAGGCTTCAGTAGGCTTCAGTGATATGTCCGTGGTTTGCAGACTTCCTGCTGGGTTTGCTGAACGAACGGCCAGCGAACTGAACTTTGCTTGGTTTGCTCATCCCAAATGCAGATGTTATACTGTCAATTCATGAAAATTACATTTTCTAAATACAACTTTAATGCAAAGCACCAATGATACACATTATGCAGAGCGTAACACAACATGCACAAACGCGTTTGTATACATCCATTGGCAAGAATCAGTGGATTCTTGCTGGCTGTTGTAAACGCTGTTGCATACACTGTGTGTCAATACCTGCAGGTGCCAGCAGCAGTTGCCAGATTTTTACTCTGAAGACATCAAAAGGGTAAAAGTTGTTTTTGTGATGGTAAGGCTGCTTAATAAGGTTATACTAATTTAATTATTATAATAAGTCCACTGAGACTTCTGTTGTTTGCATGAATTTGTAAAACGTCACTATGTGATTCAATGCAAAAACAAAAGTGAAGATTCCTCTTATTATGGAAAAAAGTGGATGAATATCCTTATAATTTCTTTAAACCTTTTAAGGGATAACTTTAAATTGTTTGAAGCATTACTGCATATCCTTATGAGGCACTATTGTATGGTATTAATACAGTGATGCTCAGGACATTCAGTTACTTTATATACCATAGGAGGTTGTTTAAATCCTGTCTGGTTGTTTTGAAATAATGTAGTCCATCAACTACAGTTATATTTATTTAATAAAGATTTTCTTGATACATTCGCGCTTTTTTAACTCAGGATACCCCAAAGACTTTTTCTTTTTTTTCCCCTTTAAAAAGGTAAAATATTTAAACAGACAAATTAAGCCCACAGTTTGTCTATTAAAGAAAAAATAGAGTTAAAAAATTGGTTGATTAGGTTTGGTTACTAAATAAGTAAATATAAAGATAAAATAAAATAAAAAATGGAATGACTTAGCCCTGAATTAAGACAGATTTTTTTTCAACCACAACTGTCTTTGAAAGTGTTACGCTTAGTGAGTGCATCGACCCAGGGTATGCTATCCTATATATTTCCCAGGAAAACAGCTGTTGTGTTGTCTCATCTGTTAACAATTGTTCCAGCATCACTTTAAGTCCAGTAGTAAGCTGTTGTGTCTAATCTTTAAAGAGACACAGGCACACAAGGCAGCATGTTGCATTTTTCATTCACAATGGTTGTGGCACATGAGCTTTCTTCTCCTTAAAATTTCCTGCAGCCCTCTTGACTGTCTCTGTCACCCTGTGCCAGATGGGAAGTGAGAGCCGACCACACTCTTTGTGGTGGAGAAGCCCCCAGAGCTTCAGCTACTGGTTACTGAGGCTTCATAAAAAATTCAGAGCTGATTTAACAAGTGTGCTGAAATTAAATGTGTGTCATGTTATCCACCCTCCTTTCAACTTACAGAAAGCAATTGCAAAGCAGCTTGCTATTGTCCTATGGCACCCAACTATGCCCCTTAGTCTGTATCTTAGAAAAATGATTCCTCTGTGCACTATTAGAAAGCATTTACCTGTTCTGTTACACTTTAATGACACTTGCAAAAATGCAGTCAACATGTTCCGATGACTTTAAATGGCTACAAAACCTTAAATGGTATAATGTTTAATAGCTGCCCCTCAGAATTCAAACATATACACTACTGGACTAGAACCAGAGCTAAGATTAAATGCAGAAAAAAAAAACAACTCAGATCATATTGTTACCCATTTCACTTCACCTTATTGTATGCATGGAAATTAAGGAATGAATAAGAAAACTCATGGACACAGCAATGGAGGAAAAACTGTAGATTGATATGCTTTGGACACTTCAAGGTTGTAAGACTTCACTCAAAACAACATCTTCCCTCCAATTGTCTACTTTGAAGTGAACAACCAGAACAATTTATTTGGACTATTCCTGGTCTGGATTTCTGAAAAGTTGTTAAGTTGTAAGACTTCACTCAAAACAACATCTTCCCTCCAATTGTCTACTTTGAAGTGAACAACCAGAACAATTTATTTGGACTCTTCCTAGTCTGGAGTTCTGAAAAGTTGTTAATCATAATGTTTGCTGCTTTTATAGTTCTGCTGCTGATGTGGATTCAAAAGATATATGGTATGCAGAATTCATCAGCTTGGTTGATTACTCCTCTATACCATACTCTTGCTTTCACAGCATCAAAACTATGAAAGCAGCAATCATTAAGACTACCAACTATTTGGAGCTCCAATGTCTATGCAGGAGCCCCTTTTATA